CGATCTCCCCAAAACCCCAAAACCCCAAAACCCCCAGGACAATAAAATTATAAAATTAAGGTTAAAATTAAAATATTGAAATCTCAGAAAACATAGGTATAATCCTCCTTCTTTAAGTTACAAGCTTTATATACAAGTAATGCCATAATACATGGCTCTGGGATATATTTCATTATTCTAATATTCTCAACTAGCTCTGAACGGTCTCCATTATTTTAGTCATTATTTTCATTTTACCCCAAAAGCTATTAAGTCATAAAGAACCCTGAGTCTGAAGCTCCTATCTTAGATTTGAACTACCTTCTTTTTTGCTAGAATGAATCAGGATACATCTGGTGCAGAACTTTCTCAAATTAAGCTAGTGACTCTGTCTGTTTCAAGCCTAGATTTTATGGCAGTCTAATCTACTTAAATGATGTGACTTTCATAGAGTTGAAATCAGGGTCATAGAGTGTGGCATCTCTAATCTGACTATCTATGATAATTTTTTGCTCTAAAGATAGTTTTAAGTATTAAGTCCTCCATTCAAAGAATTTGTCACAATGTGCTATTCTGCACTTAAGGTAATATCTAGCAATCAAAGCATCTCTCTGCTCATCTTTTAGCTTCTTGAGCTTTTTAACGTAACCTGCTGGCCCGACCTTGTTTTTTATCATGTGAACAATGAGTTTCTCCTTTTCATCTTCAAATAATTTCTTGAGTTCTTTTTTTCTCTTATCCCTTAGTGTACATTACTGTTACCAAATTTTCTGGATTTATTGCACTATAGATTTAAATAATCATTTAATTACTCTGCTGATAAAAGCGCTTAAATTTCCTAAAAAGAGATTTGACATGATAGTCATTTTTCAAGAAACCAAATATTGTTGTCTTGGCTTATTCCTCAATCGAAGGAAACTTTGAATTTCCCACAAATATCAATGAACTATCAAAAAAATTAAGATTTAGATTGACTGTTATTTGGTGTATATTTTTTCCTTTAAATTACTTACTCTCTTATTGTATTTTTTAATCTGAACTCCTTCTTCTTCCCCTTAAATTTAACAAATCTCATGATATTCCACTTAAGTAGCTTCCCATACCATCTAATCCTCAACTTTTAGTCCTTAACTTGTTTTCTAACTTTGATATTGGCCTAGAGTACTTTTATAATTTCTCTTATCTATAATATTGATTTGAGACCGCAACTTCTAAGCAGTTACTGATATATATGCTTCTTTCTTTTGCTAAACTCTTCCTAGTTGATTCTATATATCTCCCATCTGTGAATATCTTTAAGTTTTTAATCTCTTTAGTTCTACTCACTAATTAACCTTCACCTATGAGCATATAACTGAGACATTAAATTTTTATTGCAATTCGCCTATAGATTAAAGCCAGATATATCTACCCATGAAGCTGCTTTTTCGACATTATTATCGATAAAATTCTTATTAGAGAAAAGCTTCTCCCTTTTAGTTCTAAAGATGTCTTGCATTTATTTGAGAGCTACAGTTTAATGGCTATCATCATTTAAAACTTAGTTAATTTTTGCTTTAAAGAGCTTCTTTTTCTTAAATTAGCCTCCAACTCTTTTTGGTTATTCTTGATTAATAGAATCAAACTAAGTTTATATGGTTGACTAGGTAGATATTGAATTTTTCTTCTTTTTAGGGGGTTATCCAAACAAAAATCTGAATTTAATTGGCTATAGATCAAGATCATGAGAATCTACATTGAATTTTATATAGCAATACTGATTATGCTATGAGAAGGGGAGTTGGATTGAGTACTAATTCTAAAATTTAGCAATAATATTACTGAAGGTATGATCATCTAGACTAAGTTACATTCCTAGTTAGTAGTCATCATTTTCAGTCTCAATTCTAAGAGGAGACTACTGGCAAAAGACCTTGACTTTCCCTGAATACATTATAAATGGTTGTATCTTTACTTGCACATATGATTGCTTCTTAGGATCTTCAACTACAAAGTTGAAATTACTAGCATGATGAGAAGACACAACTTAATTTGTCTCCATCATCATTCTTTTAATCTCATCTTTCTAATCTAACAATTGCTTGCCTAGATTAGCATTTTCTAAGTTTCCCAACAGCAATTTATGCTCCTTTTTGCGTTCTTTCTCATCAAGATACTAAAGTGATTCGTTATTAATCAAATTTTCACATTAAGTCCAAGGGGATAAGTCTTTAGAAATAGGTCTTAAAATGTTTGATAACGATTTCTAGTGCTTTGGTGATAGAGAATTAGAGCCTGCTCTGCTTCTTCGTTCTTAAGAATTATTATTAATTCCAAATTAATCTTTCTTCATGTCAAAGATTCTGCTTTTCCTATTTTTGGATAGATTTGGTGATTTATCAGCTTTAAATAGAGATTTTAATCTTTATCTTTACATTAGTGTGTTTTTCTTGCTAAACATTCTGGCCTCACTTGAATGATATTCAATACTCTCTTGAACTATACTATTTTATTTTCTACGTTTAAGGATGTTTCTCTAACTAAACATGTCTCTCTAGCTTCCTATCATACTTTAAGTAGCTTCAGTACTTTGCCTATGCTAATTGAAGTACATATAAGATCTGTTACTGCTCTCCTTCAATTTATTATCTATTACCGAGGAGTTGTTAGAGGAGTACATTGGCAGAAGCATATTGCTACTATCCTTATTAGTTATTCTCTTAGGAGTGGCATGGTAAAAGCCCGATGCATTTCTCTTATGTTGTTAGTGTTAATTTTAATGGAAGCTTTCAGATTGATTGAGCTGATTTGTAGAACCCTAGTTGCTATCTAAGTTAATGACTAATCTCTTCCTAAGCAAACGCGATACAGATATGTTAGGACTTGAATCTCTATGATTTAGTTAACTTGATGAAAGATTGCCTGGGATTTTTATTGGACTCCTTTTTTGAACCTAACTTGTTCTAACTCTTTCTTAAGAGCTTACATTATAATTTGTCTGTATTTTCAAATTAAAGTGAACGTCCTTCCTCTCTTTGCCATTAAAGCCATCCTATGAGTGAGTAGGGGAGGTTACAGACGAAGCTAAGCCACCCTTTGGATAAACTGATCTTCCTTGAATAGCCGAGTGCTTTGAGAAACTTGAGTATGACTGCTAATGTGTTGTATGAAGCTGCTATTAAATCTACTTATCATGAATTTTCATTTTTAAAAAAGAAACTTTGATAATATAATATATTTCAGCACAGTTGATTTGCATATTCAAATTGTTCGGGGTTTTGGGGTTTTGGGGTTTTGGGG